ACCTCGCCCACCTCCTTTTCTCCCTCCCCCTCCCCCTCCAGAAGCCGCGGACGGCGGAGGCGGGCAATCGACGAGCGCGAGAACCCCACGGAGCAGCTCCGCGAGGAAAAGCCGCGGCGGCAGCGCAAGCCGAACCCTCGAGGCGGTATTCGGCGCGAGCGCGGCGGCGACGACGCGGGTGCGCCCCCCCCCTTCCTCCATCACCACCGCCGCATCGCCATCCAGGGCGATTAGGCGGAGCTGCTGGCGGTACGTCAAGGCCCCGGAGCGGGCGGGGGGGCGGTAGACCTGCTCGAGCTCATCGCCATCCGCGCCGAGGATCTGCAGCGCGGTCGCCCGCCCTTCCCGATGCCCCCGTGCGAGGAGCTGCATAAAAAGCGGCAGCAGCGGCGTCGTCCAGCACGTCAGCATCGCGCGCATCGCGATCCGGGCGTGAAGCGCGACCTCCGACGGCGCGTACATCCACATCGCCTGGCTATCCCGATTAAAAAGCTCGACAAAGGGGAAGAGCACCTTGACGGACGCGGGGAGGTTGCGGTAGAGCGTGCCCAGGGGTCGGCCGTTTCGCCGGAAGGCGATGCAGCGGCTTTCGGTGTGCAGCACCACCGTGATGACATCCCCGGTGCCGTAGACGACGCCGTCGTCCGGGGAGAGCCAATGCCGCTTGTACTTCCGCAACTTCGCCTTGCAGGGCTCCGCGGTGTCGGAGAGGAAATCCGTCAGGGAGTACACCCCGTGCTGGCGAAAACAACTCCCCGGGTAGCTCGCTAAGCTGAGCTGAGGGCTGTTCTCCCGGCAGCAGACGAGCCCGACGTGGTAATACCGTCCGAGCGTATCCGTCTGAAATCCGCGTTGGAGCTGCGCGGAGAAGCTCACGACCGTGCCGTAAGACCCGTCCAGCGGGATCCCATTCCCCGCGTAGTTCGTCGTGCGCTGCGGCAAGCATTGGAGGGGATCGGGTTTGTAAAACACGCATCGCCCGGTCATCCGCACCGCGATATCCTCCGGCACGCTGCTTACGGTGAAGATCGGGCGGTACTCACTCGTCGGCCCCTGCGCGAGCTCCCGGCAGCCCTGCCAGAGGGGCTTGGGGTCGAACGTGAAAAGTTCAAACCCCACCGGGGGCGCCGTGATCGCGCCGTGGATCGCGCTCAAGGCAACCGCCCGCGTCTTCTCCGCGACGGCCTTGCAACACACCACCTTCGACAGCGTCTCCATCATCTGCACGGGCGACGAGGCGTGATCGAGCGCGAGGGAAAGCGTCATCATGTACACGAGAAGGAGGTTGTTATACACGAGAGCGGCAGTTTGGCGTTTGATGCGCTCTGTGGAGTCCGTCGTCGCGTCCTCGGGGGGGAGAGCGGCGATAAAACGAACGAGCCGCGCGATATCCCGTTGAAGAGGGGCATCGCAGGATTCCACAAACGCCCGAAGCGGATCCTCACCGTCGTGGCTGGCCAACAACGCAAAGGTCGGGGAGACGTTGGCGGAGCTGATCCGCGTTCGTGCGGGATCGCGCTGGGAAAACGGCCCCGAGGCCCTTCCGCCTGCCCGCGTGCTGGATAAAATCAGATAATAAAGCACATGCACGGCGTAGAGGGAGATGTTGTAGAGCGTAAGCTTCGCGTTCGGTCCACGAGAGCACGCGCCGTACTCCGGCGAGCTCGTAATCCGCTGCAGCGTAGTCGTGCGGTGGCGGGAATGCGAAAGGCGGGGATGCGAAAACGAGGGCGCCACCCCACCCCCGCTGGCGAACGCATCTCCTCGCGATGGTTTCTCCTCCCGCCCCCATCGCCCCCCGCTCGGGGTGCTCACCACCCGAAAAAGTGTATCGCAGCACGCGTTGTTGACAAACCCGAGCACCAAATAAAACGATTGCCGCCGTGGGGCGATGAACCAGAGGATCAAATGACCATTCAGCATCAACCCCATACGCCAGCGCTTGAGCTCGAAGTTAAACACAAAACTCACCACATCGCCTTTGGAAAGCGGGGGGACGTCGTGTTGCTTGCCGCGTGCGTGTAAAGAGCCACTGCCGTGGTAAAAAATCCCCTGCTCATCCTGTGCGAGGTTCGGCAGCGAAAAATCGAGCGCGGGAGTCGCCAACCCCACGTAGAACTTCGAAAGGGCGTGGTCGTTGAGGAGCTCGACGTGGTAACACGCAGGCCCGCCGCCGCCGCTGAGGCGATCCTCACAGAAGATCGGCTCCTCCGAGCGGACGATAAAATACGGCGTGTGCGCGAGAAAACTCCGTGGCGACTCCTGCGAGGCCCCGATCATGTGAAACTCCTCCTCCCCGAGGGATCCACCCCCGCCGGCGTCGCCGAAGTACTCCGCGAACATCTTCACAAAGTCCACCTCGTCGCCCTCTTCGATCAAGAACGACTCCGTCCGAGTGAGGTTGGAGAAATCGGGCAGCATCGAGGTCACGTGCGGCATGATTTCCTGCCGAACAAACGCCACATCCGCAGCGTCGAGCGGGATCACAAGCAGCGAAAGCGTAATCACGGCGAACGCGCCGTAATCCCACGCGTCGAGAAGAAACCGCTGGGGGGCGGATTGGATGCGATCCTGCCGCGTTTTTAGCCCGCGGAGGGTCATGTAAAGCTTGCGTAGGATGCCGTGCACGAGCGCGCGAAGACGTCCTTCCCGCTCAGCCCCGCAGCCCGCAAAGCGCACCAAATAATGCTGGCGAGACGCCAACGGGGGCTGCCGGGTGGCGCCGAGACCATGCGTGAGGAATTCCCTCGTCAGGGCAGCCACGATCGCGAGATTCTTCGCGGAGACGCACCCACAGCAGCGCTCCAGCATCCCCAGAATCACTGTCGCGACGTCGGAGAGCTCCTGGCAATGCCGCAGGTGCTCCTCCAGCTCCGCAGGTCGGAGGTCGCCGCCGAAAAAGAGCGCGAGGATCGCCTCCACGACCTGCGACACGGGTGCCGCGGGGAAGCTCGAGACGCGGTCCAAAATGAACTCCGCGAGCTCCTTCGCGTACGTGTTGTGGCGGCTCATCGTGGCGCTCGAGACGCTCACCCGACGCACCACATCCAGCCAGACGTGGGATCCCCAATGCAGCTCCCCTCCTCCGCCCCCTCCCTCCCCGTTTTCCGCCGAATGCGCGGCATTCAACGTGAGGTAGTGCGCGCAGACGACGAGCACCGACCGCACCCCGGCGAGATCCCCGGCCCGACAAAGCACACGCCGCCGCAGCTCCTCATCCGAGAGCTCCGTGGCGAGGCTGCGCACCAGCGGAGGCCGCGGCGGGCGCCCCCCCCGCCTCGGTCAGGTTCCCCCCCCGGCCGCGGAAGAGGACGTGGAAGGCCT